CCCCAAAACCCCAAAACCCCTTCGATAAATATCTAAAAAGAATATTAATTGAGATTTATGAAAATAAAGATTGAATTATAAATTTATTTATCATGTCGAAAAAACTTCATGGAAGTCAACTACCATCAAATATAGTATTCATAGGAGCCTTTAACGATGATATTAACTCAAAACATATAAATAAGCCATCATTTTCTTCATTGAAAGATCCTACACTTCAGCTTAATTCTAAATCGAAGTAGATTCTTACTCCTATTAGTTCGGTTTCATATCCGATAAGTGTAAATTTTTCATAAATAGTTAAATTGTAGAGTCCATAATTAGAACATAACTAGGATTCAAAGTAATCATAATACTCAGTTCAAATACAAGAACCTGCAACAAGAAAATATTTAAAGTCCTCTTTTTCAGAAAAAAATCACAGAAAATACATCCATGAGAAAATGAAGAACCTCAAAATTGATTAATAATACAATCCTTAATCATAGATAATCTCAGCCAAAGCTTCAGAGAGAACATTATCAACCTCTCATGCTTAAAATAATACTGCTAGAAGAAAATCTATATTTATACCAATCCCCTCTTACGCAAGGTAGATAAGTTGTTCGATTTCCCCTTCCCACTGCAAGCAAATGTAGCACTTGCAAATATTTCATCCCTAATTTAAGAATACATTTCAGGAAAGTAACTCTAAACAAACAGCAATGAGATCAATTTAGGATGACGATGAACTAATGAGGAAGTTAGAGGCATTAAAATCTAATATGAAAAATGACAACGAAGAGTCTATTGAGACCTATACCTCGATGAATGATTATAATCATTAATCAGAATTCAAGTCAAAGTACTATACACTTAAAAATCAAGATAAAAAAATAAGTTTGCTTAAGAACATCGCTGTTAATGAAGAGCTACCTAACATTGCAAATATAATTGAAAAAGCAAGATTAGATATGCCAATAACTTCATTTGGAATTCAGCTATCTTAAGAGGCCTAATAAAAGATTTATCATAAAATTTAAATGAAAAAATCTAATTCGTAATCCAAGCTTTAACCCACACCATCGAATGGAAAGAAAACGTTTTATAAAGACATGAGTCTATCCTAAAACTTACAGAATCAGATATACGAAGTAGATGTAAATTAACCCCATTTACGTACAAAGCCCTTATTTATCATTAGAGAGCATTAAGTTCTTAAAAACAACAATAACTAATCTAGAAACACTGGGATTCCTGAATCACGAGGAAACTCGAAGGATACAAATCCAAATGAAACAAGCAATAATAAAAACAATTAAATTCAAAGACACATGGAATCTCTTTAGCCAAATCTTTAAACCACTAAAAATGCCAGTATAAATCGCAAAGCCTATCTTCAAAGTACTTTGTACCTTGAAAAAAATATGACAAAAGATTTCTAGGAAAGCATAAGAAAAGTAAAACCTCTCATAGATCCATTTAGATATCAATAAAACCCAGGAAAAATGAACAATTTCAAAAATTTAAGTAGATAATAGTAATAGCAATAATAATAATAATCATAGCATTAGGATTAAGTTTCTTAGTCTGATAAAACAGAGTTGATGGCCTAAAGTATGTCTATGGCTAAAGATAGTTAGAAGTGATAGTCTGTAGCTTTTCTCAATAGAATTAGCTAATTTACTAGAAGAAATTCTAGACTCATAGATGATATTAAAATGGCTTAAGCCGAATTTCATGTCTAAGAGAATGAAAATAATCACCATCATCATCATCATCACCCAGATGAAATCTAAAGCCTCACTGAAGAGAGTTTCAATATTAAAGATATAGAAAAAAATTTCTTTAATGATGATAATACTGATAAAGGGCCTTAACAAGAGCGAAAGTATAGTTATCAAAAGCCTAATTTGAACAAAAAGTCACATTAGAAAAGTGATAGATCATAATCAAGCGATAATGACTCTGATTCAAGTTCAAGTAAAAATAAGTTATTCAATACTACAAATGGAAATAAAAATATAATCTTTAACTCTACCAGTAATTGTAATAATTCAGCAAAGAAGGGAATATAACCTATTGAAAAAATGTTTGAAAAGGAACGAGACTTTAGGAACTTAAAACTAGGATGTAAGGCTACTGTATTTGAAAGGGATCCCAACATAGTTCTAAATATGCGCAAAGGTAACTACACTCTCATTAAGTACACAAATTTTACCTGAGAAATAATTTATTAATTTCATAATCTTCAATTCCGCATATGCACTGCATTAAGGGGTTTTGGGGTTTTGGGG